AGTGTAATTCCTCCACCATCCTGGAGCTTCAATGACAGTGATGTGCCTGTCTGCTACTTCTCCATGTCTCCTCACACACTGAGCAGATATCTTCAAGTCAAACTCCTCTCTGCCCAGGATAGTGTTTCCTGCTGAACTCTTACCAGCATCTTTATACCCCATTAACACAATCCTCAGCTCTGAGAGATGTTGGGCATCACCTGCAACAAATAAGGAACAAACACATTTAATCAACATGATATTGTACTGAGTATCTGTAAATATCTGCTCTATACACCTTTAATAAAATCCCTAAGTAATAAATGAAGTAAGTGATCATGTACAGTCATTATCACAAGCCCGTCAGGGTGATCTGGACCCTGATATGATGCTGAGCATTTAGGTTTGAATTATAAATGACGTACATGAAATAAGTGTAGATTTTAAGCATTCTTGAGCAACAAACACTAACAGGTTTGACACACTGATCCAACAAAACCCAAGAGTCACTGCAGGCTGCTGTTTGTTAGTTTGTTTGTCAGTGTGAACCAGGGCCTGGGGGGGGGTTACTGAAGTGTTCAGATGGGTGTAATGTTTAGAAAAGAAATGTCTTTTCATGAGAATGGATGCTTTCTTTCAAATAATTACAATGATAACACGAATGCTTAAGAACTATATGATTTTATTTATATTCTTTATAAAACAAACATATCCTCTTAGAGATCTCTGAGTTGCAGCTATACCCAACTCCAGCACAGAGACGAACAACAAGTCGCTGGCAGTGAGAATGCGGTTTAACAGGTATTTAATAGACATATCACTGAAATTGGATGTGGTGTCCCTACATTGATCGGACAGACTGACACATCGACCGAGACGCGTGCAGCTCATATTGCTACCATGCTGAAAATCATAGCTTCCTTCCTTAACCTCCGAGGACATCTTTGCTGATCAGCAGGTTCAATGTGGTTAAAGTTAAGGGTGGACTTTAGGAACAGGGACACATTAGATCCCAATGAGGCAGCATACATTTATGATTTGAATAAATAAACTTTTATACTGTACTACATACAATACTTTGAGGTGCAAATTCTATCTGCCACTATTTCCCCTAAATAACATCAAACTACTATTTATTCAATACAAAGAAAAATACTTTTTTTGCTCTTTACACTCTGCCTAAAATGAGTGTAATTTTAACTGTAAAATATTGCAAAAATGCTACAGAAAAAAAAAACTTAAAGTTAACAGTAAGTTCCCTTAATATATACAAGGAAAAACGGTAAAAGATCTAACCAGACATTTCATGTAATTTTACAGTAAAATGCGGTCAATTGTACAGGTTTTAGAAGTAAAAACAGAACAAATCAATGTATAATTGAGTCAAAAACTGTAAACTGACATTGCCAGAATTCCCTTCATGACATTTCACATTTGAAGGAATTTTGTTTAAATAATCATGTTTTTAATAGTTTTTCTTATCAGTTCTGCACATTTGGGTTTTATGTTACATCTTCTGTTGTTTAATGTTTATTGCATTATTTAATTGTCATGTGAGCTACCATGATGCTGTTTTGTTTTGCATGAATGACTCCGTGCACAATCTGTATACAAGTATTTCAGCTTGTGGAAAAGCTTCTTATGATGACCTTCATTATTCTTCATGTGACTTCCTCTTTTATCACCTGCATTATTATGGTGGTTGTCAGTATATGTTCGAATCAGAAAACACATTTTACTAGCAGTGTGCATTGTCGAATTTACAGGTTTAAAAGGCAATTAAAATGAGTGAATTTAAAAATGTTATGTATTTTTTTTACGAAATTATTCTGGCAACCACAACAGCCACAATTTTTTTGTAAAAACAAGGGGATTTTTTTTTTACTGTGTACATATACAGTATATAATATACTATATCATAATTAGTTGTGATCGACAGTGATTAGAAACATGACAGACAAACTTTGCTACTACTACAGTTTTCTATGGGATATGTAGGCAGGAAATATGTATTTCTATGAAAATAATTTTTTATATACACATGTAGGCAGTTAGTGTACATACAGTCCATAGGACCTTACTTAGATTTCTGTGCTGTTGTTGTCTCTAGTTCCATAAAAAAGTACATTTTAGACTCACTCATCTGTGATCTGATGTCGTCTTTTTGTTTTTTCATCCTCTTCATTCGTTCTTTTGCTCTCTCTTCCTCTGCTCTTCTTCTCTCTTTCATCTCTTGTAAAATCTTTCCGTCTATTTCAAAATGACAGCCGTTGTTTTGTGCCACTGTCTCCTCAATCTTCTCCAGCAGCTCCTTGATCTGAGTGTGGTCACTCCTGTTCTGATTGTTGAGAACATGATACCTGTTCCCACATTTGTCCAGCAGCCACTGGAGATCCTGCCCTTCACTCTCAATGTACTGCTCTATAGAAGTGTCTGACAGAGAGTCTCCTTGAGTGAACAGCACTATAGTGTGACTCCAGACTCTCTCACCGAGAAGATCCAGATACCCCTGCAGTACTTTTCTCTCAGTCTCTTTAAACATGTAGTCCACACGTATGATCAGTAGTACAGCGTGTGGTCCTGGAGGACACAGAGACACACTGAGCAGAATCTCCTGTTTCAGTAACTCAGGACTGTTCTCTACAGTGTAATTCCTCCACCATCCTGGAGCTTCAATGACAGTGATGTGCCTGTCTGCTACTTCTCCATGTCTCCTCACACACTGAGCAGATATCTTCAAGTCAAACTCCTCTCTGCCCAGGATAGTGTTTCCTGCTGAACTCTTACCAGCAACTCTATACCCCATTAACACAATCCTCAGCTCTGAGAGATGTTGAGTTTCACCTGCAACAAACATAGAATAAAACACATTAATCATCATGTTTCCTGTGCATTTAATAATAGCAAGAATGCTAAGATAAAACTATGCTATTTAATTAACATTTTTAAAACAAACGTTTATAATACAAATATATACCTCATGAATGAATTTAAGCCGTCAAAAAACGGGCTATACATGGTTAATATCTTTAATTTTACTTATTTAGTTAGTTATTTGAATGGTACACAAAAAAGATAGATTACATAAAACAAACTAAGCGAAGCTGAACTGCCAACAATGTGTTTTTAATTATTCATTAAAAATTAATTGAAATATAACTCACGCAATTCACTGAAAACGTGTACATGTCATAAAATCCCATTCCAAGTTTGCTGAAGGCATACGGTAAGGGACGGCGAGAAATAAAGCAAAAATATCATTTATTATTATTTATTATATCTTGACCTCGGCCTTTGAACTCCTATGTAGCCTACATTCATGCATCTGAGTAAGCATCTCTCTAGAGCCCCAGGAAAAGCATAAACGCGCATTTTGAGAGCCTATCAATTATAATCAGTATTAAAAATATACAAGACACACGGCGAGGCCTTTAGTGTAACCCTCAGAAAAGCGTATGTGTACTTTTCTCTCATGAATATCTCTCTTGCGGTCCGTTTGTGAAGACCGGTTGAACGAGTTCGAGCGAATAATGTAGGCCTATTATCATTTTTGTGTGTGTTAGTATTTACAAAGATCTACAACTAATTTGATAATGTAGCCTGTGTCTTGCCATACGCAATTAACGCCCCTGAGAAAAAGTGTATTTATTGTTTTTATTATGAAAAAGGCGATTCATTTTACAAAAGAATTATGCTTACCGAAGTCCATTTTACTTGACATGATCTCAGTCGCAGTTTTGAGTAACTGTAGTTCCACCAGCTTTTAACTTTCACTTTACTTTCAATACGTACAGGTGTTTCAGACGCGCAAGGGGCGGGTCAAGGTGACGTTCAGTGGTATGTTACTTTAGGCATACACAATAGGTTGTTTTTCTTTTAAAGTGACAGTAGCTTTTGTTAACAATTAAAATTATTTCTTGAGGCAACCCTAAACTTCCATCTTAATACTCATAATGAAGAGCCATCATATACAATAAACATAACAGAAGTTATTCTAAACTGTAGGATGTAGGAAGAAATTATTTCATAATTAATCTTCATCTGAGTACTTTTGTTATACAGCCAAAAATATTAAAATTAATATTAAAAGAAAGTACAGAGCCATATCCTACAAATAACTGAAATAATATCAGTTTAATTATTAAGGCACTCAGATTTATGTCCTCTGCTGTTGTTCAGGATGTTCAGAGATCTTCTGGATGATTGAGATCCCATATCCAGCTCCACTGAAGGAACCAATGCCGTCAAAACATCAGCAGGACCAACAATATTCATAAAATACATTTTACTTTAACCATTTATGTTCTTACCAGTGTTAAGGGCTTCCTGACATGCAGGCTGATATCGGACACTGAACTGATTAATGCTACTTTTTGATTTTGTGCAATATGGTGGAACAATTATAGTCTACATTTTTTAAACCTTAATTTTTAGATTAAGGTTAAACATTAACCCATATCATCCTTGTGTGTGTGTCTCACCCTCTCTGCAGGCTTCAGCACACTCCTCTGCATTGGTCACCAGCTGCTCTGCGTTCTGTACGATGGAGGGTAAACGTGCATACCAGCTCCTCACCACATCCTGCACACACACAGTGATCCAGTGAAAACACAACACAGCGTTCCTGAAGTCTGACCGTCTCCATCAGTCGCTCATACCTGCAGCAGGTTCCGTGCTAAACGCATCTTTCCAGTGTAAACCAGAAGAAGATGCTGCTGCAGGACAGAACATGTATCCTTCACAAGAAATGCAATCCCTGAATGCATTACAATGAAATTCTGATTTTAAATATAACTACCTTTACGAAAAAGAAGTTTATTCAAGTGTGCTATTAGTATACTTCTTTTAAACTAAAAAATAGGAAAGTATACTTTGTCTACTTTTTATGTACTTCTCAGAAATATACTTAAAATGACATTTAAGTATACTTGACTTATAGCCTACTTAGAAAAAGTCTAAATATATTTGAGCTATACTTGTTCCTAGTCTTACGAGTATACTTGCAGTATAAAACTACTAAACTAATAGTTTACTAAGACTATACTTCAAAGTGTACTAAAATTGCTACTACAAGTATTTAATTAGAAAACTATCAGTATTCATATAAGTTCACTTTTAGTATAGTTGCAGTACAAACTAAAATATTGTTGTAAACTAGTGTACTTAAAGTTTACTACTGTTATACTTAAAAGTATACTTCAAAGTACTTTTATATACTAGAAAGTGGGCCAATTTAGTATTTGTATACTTGCTACATTAAGTATACTTAAAAATATACTTAAACTTTACTTAAGTATACTTAAAATAAACTTGAAGTATACTACTTTTTGGTAAGGGTACAGATCTGTCTGATTATAAAACAACACTCAATTCTTGTTCCATACATTTTTGTGCTTTATTAGAGGGACCCAGTAACTTCACACTCTTTTGGAAATAACTGTAAGCATTGGTCGAGTCATTTATGCAGATCTCTTGCGGAGCACTTCTTGATGTTTAGGATGCTGCATTAGAAGCTTCAAATCACAAATAGCAGTAATTTGCCAACAGTAGACAGCAAAGCATTGGAACAGTGATTCTGTGCATATGCACATAAATCAAAAAACTTTCATTTATTAAGAAAGTTAAAAAATAAACAAATTTATAATAAAAAACTCTGCATTGTTAATAACACAAACTCTGCCATTGTGAGATACAATTAACTTAGACATCACTTTAAGGTTAAAACAATTGCATATACCTTATACATTTAGTAATAATTATCATTAACTATTATAATATTGAAACTATAAATGTCAACATTATAAAGACACAATTTCTCATTCATCAATTTGTTATTCAAGTTTTCTTAGTGTCTTCTTCATGCTTATCACGCTTCTGTAATATTCTTGGGAAAAGCTTTGAGATCTTGGGCTTTCCATGTGCTTTTTTGGTTTCTGAATGTTCCACGGATTCAGGGATGGACCGCAAAGACCCGAATCCTGAGCTGTGAGATGAGACCTTTGAGCGTGATGAGCTAAAAACTGAACTGCTGTCTGCTCCTGATCGTGATCTGAATGAACTGTAAGCAGAACTTCCCACAGACCTATCTGACCGCTCATCTCCACTCACTGGGGAAAATAAAATGAAATCAGAAAAAGATTTACAACTTTTATAGAACAAAATTCTGACATTTAGCACTTTTAATATATTCCTAAAAAAATTGCCTATTGGTAATCCAGGTGCTCTTTAAAACCTTAAACAAATACATTATTAATCAGATGGGATTTTAAAGTTTTTTCCCTGTTTTAGAAATACCGTTATTACAAACCTTATCACTATGTATTGCAAGCATTTAAAGTTGACCATATAGATTTAAAGAGCCTGAAACTTTCATAAAAGTTTGAAGAACAAATTATCAGTAAAAACAAGTGCTTGACCTTCAAAAAATAATGATCTTCAACCTAAGGAGGTCAAACTAAATATTATATGTGCTATTTTATTTCATATTAGGGTTGCATTTATTGTACCAACATTGCTATTTGTGTAAAAACTGAGAAAATGGAAGGAGATGTTGAAAGGGTCCCAATTTTATGATGTGGTAACAAATTGATGACAATTTAGACTATTACATTTTTATTTATTTATTTATTTAACAGGGATAATTGAAAGTTATTGACAGCCCCAGAATTAGCTACAAAGCTAAATCTCATCTGTAGTCCCTGGGCAGGAGAGAAAACCACACATTCGCCAAAACATTCATCCACAATAAAAATAAGAATAAAATTCCTCACCTAGCAAATGAGAACACATTCCAAAAAAAAAAAAACATAACTTAAATTGTGCAAAAGTAGAACACTGACTGATATTAATTGGTATATTGTTCCAGTTATTAACAGCTCTTACAGAAAAAGCTGAACAACCAAAATGAGTAGCTCTGAAATGTGCTTCACAATCACCTCCTGAAGAAGCTCTTGTTTGTCTTGTGTTCTCAGCACGCAAAAAGACTAATTCTTTCAGCGGTGGAGGTGCAAGAATATTACCAATTGTGTACATTAAAAAACAACTGTAAAATAAAACAAAATTATCAAAAGTAAAAAAAATATATATTTTTAATTATGAGACAACGATGATATATTTTTAGTTTCTTGTCAAGTATTTTTAAGGCACGTTTATATAAACTATATAAAGGTCTGAGAGTAGATTTTCCTGCTTGTGACCAGGTTGTAAAACAATAAGAACATTTAAAAAAAACATTGACTGCAAAAACACTTACAGCTTCTGTTGAAAGTTGACTCTGTATAAATTTAAAATTTTAAGGCACGTTTATATAAACTATATAAAGGTCTGAGAGTAGATTTTCCTGCTTGTGACCAGGTTGTAAAACAATAAGAACATTTAAAAAAAACATTGACTGCAAAAACACTTACAGCTTCTGTTGAAAGTTGACTCTGTATAAATTTAAAATTTCTAAGTTAAGAGTGTCACAGCACAAACCCTTTGTGAGAATCTAAAGAATCTAAAAATAATCTAAAATAATTCCAAGGTTTTTTATCATTAAGTAATTTTTCACCATTTCACAACAAAACAGATGGGATTTGTGGAAAACATGAGTTCTTAATATTTTAATTTTCAAAAAAGGTCACAGTGAGACCAAAGTGTACTGAGAAAAAAAAAAAAGACACTCACTGCTGGGTGGTGAAAATTCAATGCTGTTATATCGTTTTATGGCTCCTGACTCATAACTTGTGTGAGATGAATCTCTGGAACGTGATGATCCAAAAACTGTGTCTGCTCCTGATCGTGATCTGAATGAACCATAAGCAGAACTTCCCAGAGACCATGAATCAGATCCATCATCTCCACTCACTATAATAATGAAAACAGAGAGCAGATCAATAGTAGAACATTCACATTAATGCATTTGACAGACACTTTCATCTAAAGCGACTGACATGGCATTGAAGGAATACATTAATCGTTGCATGTGGTTTGTGATCCATTCAGATAGTCAACCTTATGTCAACTCTAAATGGGTCAGGGAATGGAGGATTCACTTCACTGCAGCACTTTGGTTCACACAGAAACAGAACATTATATGATTACAGTGTTCATTATGGGTTAAATGATTTTGACCCCGCAGCTCTCGTCTGGTTTCATAATGAAGCTGAACAGGGTTTAACCTCGTCAGTATCAGGATGGAGAACTCTCTGAGAAAAATTAAACTATTTAAAACTACATCTAAAAAGCTATAAAACAATGAAGTCAAAACACATCTGAGACTGTGTGCGGAAAATATTCATACAATGTTATGATTTTGTTTCATATCAGGTTTGCATTCGTTGCCATAAATGAAAGTATCAACATTACTATTTCTGAGAATTGAGAATGGAAGGAGATTTAAAAAGGGTACAAAATTTGTGATAGGGAAAAACATGTGGTAACAAACTTATGACAATGTAGACTAAATTCAGGGAAAACAAGTGCAATAATGCTTTACAAATGGTCAAGGGGAGATGAAAGTGTACTGAAAATGCCAAATAAAACAAAAGACACTCACTGTTGGGTGGTGGAAATTCAATGCTGTTATATCGTTTTATGGCTCCTGACTCATAACTTGTGTGAGATGAATCTCTGGAACGTGATGATCCAAAAACTGTGTCTGCTCCTGATCGTGATCTGAATGAACCATAAGCAGAACTTCCCAGAGACCATGAATCAGATTCATCATCTCCACTCACTATAATAATGAAAACAGTGAGCAGATCAATAGTAGAACATTCACATTAATGCATTTGACAGACACTTTTATCCAGTCACATCAGTTCACGTGGTTGTGATTCATTCAGATGGTCAACCTTATGTCAACTCTAAATGGGTCAGAAAATGTTGTGAGATGCTGTGTTCACTTTTATAGCCTGTTGATTAAGAAGTGCCACTAGGGAGAGTTGTTGTAAAAGATGAGGATATGCATGCATGTAAGAGTTTGTGATTTTCAGAAGACCAATATGTGCGAGATAAGAGTGTTCTTTCCTGATTTATGCTGGTGACACATCTGGACGATTTACTTCACAGCACTTTTGTTCTCACAGAAACAAAACATTATATGATTACAAAGTTCAAATTGTTTGATTTTGACCCTGCAGCTCTTGCCTGGTTTCCTAATAAAGTAAACCGTGTTGAACCTGCTCAGTGTGTGATGGACACTTTAAACTATTTAAAACTACATCTGAAAAGCTCTAAAACAATGAGGTAGAAACACATCTGAAACTGTGTGTGGAAAATATTCATACAAGTTTATGATTTCACTCACTAGTCTGTGATCTGATGTCCTCGCTCCATTTGTCCATTCGCTCTTTTGTTTTCTTTATATCATCAATCTCCTGTAAAATCTTTCTGTATATTTCCAAATGGCAGCCGTTGTTTTGTGCCACTGTCTCCTCAATCTTCTCCAGCAGAGACACACTGAGCAAAATCTCCTGTTTCAGTAACTCAGGACTGTTCTCTACAGTGTAACTCCTCCACCATCCTGGAGCTTCAATGACAGTGATGTGTCTGTCTGCTACTTCTCCATGTCTCCTCACACACTGAGCAGATGTCTTCAAGTCAAACTCCTCTCTGCCCAGGATGGTGTTTCCTGTTGAACTCTTACCAGAACGTTTATACCCCATTAACACAATCCTCAGCTCTGAGAGATGTTGGGCATCACCTGCAACAAATAAGGAACAAACACATTTAATCAACATGATATTGTACTGAGTATCTGTAAATATCTGCTCTATACACCTTTAATAAAATCCCTAAGTAATAAATGAAGTAAGTGATCATGTACAGTCATTATCACAAGCCCGTCAGGGTGATCTGGACCCTGATATGATGCGGAGCATTTAGGTTTGTATTATAAATGACGTACATGAAATAAATGTAGATTTTAAGCATTCTTGAGCAACAAACACTAACAGGTTTGACACACTGATCCAACAAAACCAAGAGTCACTGGAGGCTGTGTAACGGCCAAAACGATGTATTTGAACACTTTTAGCTGTAGCTTAGCATAGATCATTGAATCTGATTAGACCGTTAGCATCTCGCTCAAAAATGGCCAAAGAGTTTCAATATTTTTCCTATTTAAAACTTGTCTCTTCTGTAGTTACATCATGTACTAAGACCGACGGAAAATGCAAAGTTGCGATTTTCTAGGCTGATATGGCTAGGAACTATACTCTCATTCCAGTGTAATAATCAATTAGAAAACGGTAAAACTCAACTGTTTAACTCTAGGGGAGTTGGAAAATGAGCCTATTTTCAAAAATAGTGGAGTGTTCCTTTAAAATGCTTTTTCAGCATTGTGATTCTTTTTTTTGTACACAGTACAGTAATACAATCTTTCATAGACATGTTTAAATGCAAGAAACACATCATTCAGTGCTTTGTACTTTTGCATTTACTTCAAGATTGATATATTAAGTTGCTCAAGCAAATGGCAAAACATTTAAACTACTTTTACATTATCACAAACACTCTAAATTAAAGTCAGCTCTACTGCCTTTTTTTGCATTTAAATCTTTATTACAAGCAATCCTGCGTTCATAAAGAACTTTGTTTTACTACCTCCACGAGTGCCATCTATTATTGCCTTGTTTATCTAAAAGTGCTTTAAACCTAGTCAAAAAGGTTATGTGGTGACTGTGAAACACTGTAGACTTTAATTATATGCATTTATGGTGTAATTACTCAATTTTCGTGTCAATCCATGTTCATATTTACCGCAAACAATGAGCTGTTGCTTTAATGCTTCGCTTGCAGCGCAGCAAAAATAGATTCGGTGCGGAAACGATCTCTGCACTGCTGCAGATGCACCACAACCGTGTGCAGTGTGAGCGCTTTAATCCGTTAACATGAGCGCGGAAAAAATGAGAAGGGTCTGGCTGCAGCTTGGCGCTTGCACTCTCAGACTAGTGTTGGGTCGTTCTTGAACGATTCATTCATTTTGAACGAATCTTTAATGTGACTCGGGAAGAACGAGTCGTCTCGGGGAGTGATTCGTTCAGTCGCGCATGCGCAACATCATATAGGTTCTGTACTGGAATTAGTCAAGTAGTTCACCTGTTTCGAGTCTTCGGGTTTTTCGAGTCATTCGTACATCACGTGACAGACCCATAAGCTTTAAAGGGGTCATATGATGCTGCTAAAAAGAACATTATTTTGTGTATTTGGTGTAATGAAATGTTTATGCGGTTTAAAGTAAAAAAAAAAACATTATTTTCCACATACTGTACATTATTGTTTCTCCTCTATGCCCCGCCTTTTTGAAACGCGTCGATTTTTACAAAGCTCATCGTTCTGAAAAAGCGAGGTGTGCTCTGATTGG